CATGGAGCACTGGGTGTTGTGCACGAACAATGAATCATGGAACACTTCATCTAGAACTAATGATGTAATGTATGGGGATTAACATAAGAATAAAAATAAATAAATAAAATAAGTGAGGGGAGATGAAGCATAGATGAAAAAAGATTGGCCATAGTTGATGATTGTTAAAGCCAGATGCTGGGCATTTGGGGAAGCAGGGTGGTGCGTAATTCTATTTTTGCTACTTGTACATGCATTTAAAACTTACCATGGTTGAAAAAAAATTAGAGAAAAAAATCAAAAAAATAATTAATTGGAAAAGTGGCGATTCTGTGTGAACAAAATGATGGACAGTCGAGACAGGTTTAAACCTTTTGCCTAAGACCTGAGCAACCAAGGCTAGGACTGATTCGCATTTAGGAGCCATGGATCTTGGCTCAGCTGGGAGTGAGGGGCAGTGACATGATACTGGATTCCCGGGATCTGTCCTTTCTGGCCCTCCCTCTGCCCGAGCTCCGTACCTTCCACAGCTTCTTCTGCTCAGGAGAGAAGACCACGGCCGCAAGAGAGGAGACAAGAGGTGGGTCAGTTTCCAACCAGGCTGCCCTTCATCCGAATGAGTACACAAGCGTGTGCTTACCTTCCTGTTCCCTGCCATGGAAAAGATAGTGTCAGTAGCACCCCACAAGCACACACTCGTCTTTCCCCAAAGGTAAGTCCATTCCCTATTTCCCTCATTGCCTCATGGAGCTCACCCTCCTAGGCCCACCTACAAAGGCACCCCTGAACGGGCCCAGTCTTCTCATCCAGGGCCTCCCGCCACAGTCCCCAGCAAACCTCTGCTTGGTCTCTCCAGCATCTGCCCGCTTAACAACTCTCTCCCTGCACTGAGCTTTGCCAGACTGTACCCTAGAACACCCTGCCCTCACCCTTCTCTCCCTATCCAAATCCGACACAGGTAAGCCTGACTACCCCAGCCCCCACTGCTCTCCCCCTCCTTAGAGCTCCTGCCCTACCCACAGCCCACCCTCCAAGCCCAGCCCCTCTTGGCTGATTACTTCCAACATCTGACATCCTAACATCCCATAGGAGAGCAAATTCCATGAGGGTAGGAGCTTTGTATCCTGATATCCTGATACCTCTGCATCCTTCCTGGTGAGCATCACCCTCCAGGAGATCATTGTTAGATTGGCTGCCAGTGTCCCACCCCAGGGTGTCCCCAAGAAGGGTGGTGGACAGGGCACTTTGGGAGGAATATGGTTCCAAGATGAAGTGCTAACAGTGAGCTCTGATTTGGATTTTATGGGGCATGATCAGCTCTATGGCTTCAGGATAGCCACTGAACGTCTCGGATATGTTTTCAGGAGACACACCTTCTAAGCTCTTCTGCCTCCTAGTCTCGTAGCCAGGTAGGACCCCAGCTGACCCTGGGAGCTGAGCTTTCTTTATTTCCAAAAGTCTCCCAGCCTGTGGCCAGCCCAGGATCCGCAGCTCAGAGGCCAGATCCCCGGAACGGGCACAGCTGCTCCCCTCCCCATCCCAGCTGGTCCCTGGGCCAGGTGTGAGGGGTGGGGTGGGGAGAGGGCCAGCACCCCAGACAGGATGCTCCAGATACTCACTCCTCGTACTCTTCTGCCACCTCTTCTATGTCCGACATGGTCCCTGCTCTCCCTCCAGAAAGAGAAAAATGTCAATATGGGCAGAAGGGGAAGCCCATCCTTCTCAGCCCCAGGCTGCCACCCCGAGAGGCCCTGGGGTGGCGGAGGCTGGTGAAGCTAGCCCGCCCCTCCTCAGCCCTGTGACCTGCAGTGAGGAGCCTGCTTCCTCCTCTGTCGGCGGGGATAGTAACCCCCACATCGCCGCAAGGGCAACCAGCCGATGCCCATTTCACTCCTTGCCCCTCAACAGGCAAACCTTTTGGAATGTCCCTGTTCTGGTGCAAATCATTGTAACTCTCAGAACAATGTATCTATAGTTTCTCAACCTTTCCAGCCCACAACCTTGCCAGGCATTCAAGGCAGCAAAGCTGTGCAGCCCCCCTCCATGGGGTCTGCTCGTCACCGCACAAAGTTCCCCTGGGAGGTTGGTTCAACGGACTGTGGCACATCCGTAGCGTGGACTACGTTTCGGCAATGAAAAGGAATAAACCAGTGATACTTGAGACACCTTGGGTGAATCTCCAGGGAATTACCCTCACGGAGGAGGAAAAGGCCAATTCACGTGATTTCACTTATGTAACATTCTTGACATGGCAAAATTATAGAAATGGAGACTAGACTGGTGCTTGTTGAGGGCTGTGTGTGGGGTGGAAGAAGGCGAGGGGAGGTGGGCATGGTGATGAAAGGCACACAGGAGGGGCGCCTGGCTGGCTCAGTCCGTGGAGTGGGCCACTCTTGATCTTCCGATGTTGAGCTGAAGCCCCACCTTGGGTGTAGAGAATACTTAACAATTTTTAAAAAGGCACATAGGACTTTTGTGGTTTTAGAACGGTCTCGTGTCTTGAGTGTGGTGATGAACACGTGAGCCTACACAGGTTAAAACCATAGAGAATTTCACACACACTCGGTCTAAGTAGAGCTGGGGAAGTCTACATCAGGCTATGGTTTGTAGCGAAGTCCATGTCCTAGTTTCGATCCATACCACAGATGTGCACATGTACCGTTGGGGGGACTGGGCAAAGTGTACATGGGACCCGTATCATCTCGGGATTTCACATTAAACTACCGCTGATCAGTACAAATTCCAATTGAAGAATGTTTGCCCGGGGAACTCAATTTGAGATACTCCCTTAACTGGGATAGGAAAGGACAATTCGAATCCTCTTCCATCAGCTTGCTGAGTGTGTTTGGGCAAGTCTTTGTTTAACACCTCTGAACCACGGAGATACAGCATACACATCCTGGCTACCCAGGGGTCTTTATGAGGAGTAAGTGGACATTAAGGAAAGTGGAAAGCACGAGGCAATGTCAGGTTTTATTGTATTTCCATGCAATTACAGGGAGAGGCGAGACAAACCCGGATGTGAATCCTGGCTCCATCTCACATTTGCCTGTGACCCTGGAAAGGTCACGTAACCTCCTTCCCCCTCAGTCCCCTCTTCTGTGAAAGGGCTCCTCCTCTGGGGAGGCTGTGGGGCTCAGAGCTAATAAAGTACCTGGCCCAGAGCAGACCCCTGATGAATACCCATTGTAACCCAACCCTCCTGGGCCACGGCAACGTGCCGCCCAGGGACGCCACTCACGCTGGCTGAGAGCTGTACGACGCCCCCCAGAGCTGGGCAGCATGAAAGCTGTCCATCTGCCCCAGCGAGGAGAAGGGTAAGGTGGTGTGAGGGCGGCTGCCTCAGTGAGGCTTCTCGTGAGCCACCAACTTCTGACCCAAGCCACAGGGACGGGGCCACAGAGCACCGCTTACCACCCTCTCCACCTCTCCCTGCACATCCTCCCGGAGTGGCGCCCCAGGCACCCACCTGCGGACACCCAGGGACAGTCCCTGCTCTGGCGGGGTGGGGTGATGTCTGCTGCCAGGCAGCCGCTTTCAGGTTGAGGAACTCCGAAGGAGCCTCTGCTCACGACTGCCCCTCTGCGTGGAGAACTCCCCCAGACCCAGTGTCCATGGCAGCCTCGAGCTGGCCGCTCATCTGAACCTGCTCGAGATGTCCGGTTCTGCTGGGCTCAGGACGAGCGCGCCTGTAGCCAGGCAGGGCCCTCCCCAGCTCTCTCTGCAGGAGTAGGGTGGGGGCAGGGAGGGAGGGTTTACACAGAGCTTTGGACAGAAACTCTGAGCCACGGTTTGGCTCCCCTGGGATGGGGGTGGGTGAGAAGAGATGGCCGGCATGAATGGTGTCATGCAGGAGGATGGACCCTCACTGTGCTGAAGAAAGACCCAAACTCCAGAGCATCTCCAAACGGGTCTTCGGATGAGAGTGGCCAAAGAGAATAGCTCCCTAACCCCAGATATGCTCTGCCCCAAGCCCCAGGGCAGTAGCCAGGACTAGCACCCTGGGAGGAGTCTGTCACCTCAGGCAAGACAGAGAAGTTTCTCAGGGGAGCTATGCATGCCAGCATGGGGCATGTGGCCTCTAGCTTTCTCTCCTCTCCTGCCCTGCCCTCCCACCAGCTCAGAGCCACCAGCCATGGCTCGGAGGCTCAGAGGAAGAAAGAGCAGCTTGGAGCCCTCTCCCTGCTCCCGGGAGCACCATCCAACTCCTAAAAATAGCAAGGATGGAGAGCAGGGAAGGGCCTGAATTCACCCAAGAGGACGCTGCCAAGCCAATGGCCCAAAGGCAAGACAGATGAAGTGGCAGGGGATGGGCTGAGGTTACAGCTTTGGAATGAGATCCAGTCAGGACCCTGGCAAGGCGAGGAATGAGAATGTGCAAAGCAGTTGTGTCTTCACACCCAGACCCTCACCTGCTTCCACAGACTGCTTTCTAGCCAAACTCCCTCACAGCCAAGAGATCAGGGTCACCTTCCTGGGGGAGTAAGTCAAAAACAATACAAGGCACAAAGAACAATGGCCATAAGGTCAAAAGATCTGGATGTAGGGGTGCCTGGCTGACTCAGTCCATAGACCGGGAGACTCCTGATGTTGGGGTCGTGAGTTCAAGCCCCACAGTCGGCATAGAGATTACTTTAAAAAAAAAAAAAATCTGGGTTTAAAACCCAGTTTTTGCTGTGTGACCTTAGCTAAGTCACTTAATCTCTCTAGGCTTCAATTAGCTTATCTATAAAATAGATGAGCTTCAAGTTCCCATCTTGCAGAAACAAGTCTCTGAGTCTCTGAGGAATGTAGGCCCCATCCCTCAGCCCTTGTCCCCAGCATCCAGCTGGACTCCTCCCAAGCCTGCAGCTGTCAGCCCACCAGGAGAGCTAGGGGACAAGGTTGAGGGGGGCCAGTGGGTAACCCAAGCCGCTCAGAGGACCTGCCCTGTGAGACTGGGGTCAGAGGAGGAATTCTGGAGGTCAGGTGGCTTCCCAACTGCACAGGGCCCGGAATGTGCTTTGAAATTCCTTGCACTCCAGGCAATCACTTCCGTAGACATTTGCTCCGCCTGCCCAGGAGAAGCTGAAAATCAAGGGAATATGACCTTCTCTGCCACTCCCAGACCCAGAGCAAGGTCTGTCCCTCCAGGGCATGTCGGGATGAGGTGGGGCAAGGGTCACATTCGCAGAGACCCTGGGGGCAGGGGGCAGCTAGACTCTGACCCCTGGAGCTGGGCTCACAGCCCACAAGAGGACCTTGCGGTGGGGTCTCTCCCCCCTCAGTCCCCCAAATGCTGCTTGGCAGTGCTTTCTCTCTGCAGAGGGGGGTGGTGCTGGCTCTGGAAGTCAGACAAACGTCTCCTGTCTGCTTGCAGAGCTGCTCCAGAGGTCCCTGCCTGCCCTGCAAGTGTGCTCTTTCTCAACGCTTCCAAGACAGTTACTGACTTGCTGGAGATGAGAATTTGACCACCAGGCCCTCTTTGTGACTGATACGACCGCAGTCTTGCTCTGCTCTGAATCCAGAAGGACCTGCCTGGAAAGGTTCAGGGGGCCCTGGGCCTGGAGGTGAGGGTCGGGGCCGAGCGATCTGGGGGAGGCCCCGTTGCTTAGAGCTTCATTGTCTTTTGAGCAGGCAGAGGCCTGGTGATTATCTCGTCCATTCTACAGATGAGGAAATTGAGGCCCAGGGAGGGAAAGGTAATCACCCAAGACTTTCCAGCTACACAGTATCTTTAGTGGCAGGTCTGGGACTCAGATCCAAGGCTCTGACTGCTAACAGAGGGTCACTGCTGCCCTACGGCGCTAGTCTCGGAGTCCCATCCCTGCAACACCTCCTCTAAAGCGTGGCCTCTTCTCGGAGGGAACGTGGACCACCAGCAACTCTGACATCCCCGCAGTGTGGACGCAGGCAGACTCTGGGAAAGGTGCCAGGCTGCAAGACATCTTCCCTCTCCTCTCTGCTCTCCCCATCTCAAGCCATGCCCGAGTCTTACCTCAAACCAGGAGCTGCCGACAGATCCCGAGGTATCTGCTCAGCCTCAGCGGGGACTGGGTGAGGGCAGGGGATGGAGAGGGCTTTAAGCAGGCCTGTGGGCTGAGGCCCCCTAAGCCAAGCCCTGCGGTGGGAGGGATGTGCAGCCGGAGACGCGGCGGGGGCGCGGGGGGTGCTGGGTGCTATTTTGGCAGGTGCCGGGGACAGGGCTAAAGGGACATGCAGCCCACGCCATATAAGCCCATGTGGTTGTCCAGCTGCTCAGATAAGCTATTTAAAACCAGAGCAGATACGCAGGCAAGAGAGGAGGGAGCAGGCATGGAACAGAAACCAGCTATCCCTCTTAAGAATCCTGATAAAGCAGATGCCAGAGGCCCAGGCCTGGGAAGGCAGGCTGGGAGCAGGGCTGGGGGGCAGAGGGCAACCTCCGAGACACTTCATGAGTCTCTGGGCCAGGGGGGTCTGGTGGGCAGAGGGAAGGGCTTATCTGCAGCTACACAGAAAATGATGCTGTGGGGAAAGACGTCTTCCAGGCTACTGGCTGTTTCTACTGGGCTGAGGGGACTTGCAGGCAGGCTCGGCAGGCCTCAGTGAGGACATCTGCAAAGTGGGTCTGCTCCAGGCCCCCCTAGAGCCATGTGACAAGCCCTCCTCACTGGGAAGGAACTAAAACTGCTCCAGGGGGTCAGATACAAGGTAGAACTTCCAATCAGGAATGATGGTTCTCCTTGGACAGGCAGCTGGGTTGTTTGAGGGGGCCATGAGGACCGCTGAAGTGCATCCCCCTAAGGCTTGAAGATGAAGGAATACGGGACCACGATCTGCTAAACCTACTAGATTGTAAGATCCGTAGGCCAGGATCCAGGGGTTTTGTGGTTGGCTTGCATGTCCTCAGCCCCTAGCACAGTGCCCAAGACATCCTGGGGCTCAATACAGGATGGAAATCGGGGGCGGAAAGCAAGTCCGAGCTGACTGCCCCCCTCAATGTCTCTGAGTTTCCAAGGCCTCTCCCCTACCTCTGAAGAAGGAACATCCCTCCTCTGGGCCAGGCCCACTCCTCCCGTGTGCCCCTGAACTCTGAAACCCCCGGCCCTTCCAGATCTTGCCCATCAGTGATGCACATTCTTATCTATTTCTCCGTGGGTGAAGAAAGCCAGTCTCCCCCTTTCCTGGCCTCGTCCCCCCACCTGACCATGTATCCAAGCCTCCCAGTCCTGGACTCTCTTCTCAGTCCTGCTGTCTTGGGAGCTACTCTGCTGTGCCCACCGCCACCGTTCTTGAGAGAATGTGGGATTTCCACTTGCGGCTCCCTGACTCCGCTATCATACTCTTGCCCCATCAACTCAGCTGAAACTGTCCCCTCCAGGGTCCCCAGTGGCCTCGGAGCCCAGTGGTCTGATGGCCCACCTTTAGGCTTATCCCGCCATGAGCCCCTCTAGGCGGCCAGCAGAGCTGTGGCAGGGCGAGCAGAGGCCACGGGCCTGCCAGACAGCATCCTGGGGGAGCAGGGGGCATGGGCCAGCAGAGAGGAGGCGGGGGGGGGCAGGTGGGGGGAGCAAGCTGACAGAGGAACAGGGAACAACCAGGCTGTCCCTGAGAGATGGAGGAAAAGCATTATGGTCCTTCTCTCCTATCTAGCCCACCGGGGCCCAGCCTTGCTTTGTGTCCTGGCCTGGAATCTCCTGGAATCTAGGGATTGCTTGTCTTAGGCCTTCCCTTCACTTGAGCCACTTTCAGTGGGTAACTGTTCCTCATAAGCCCAACAGTCCTTCAAACAGGCCATAATTTGTTTGCACAGATGCCTGGGAGAGGCACCTGAGCACCTAAATCACCAAAGCCTCCCCGAAAAAATCCAGTAGGTTCTTGGCGCTCATGGACCATGTGAGGCTTTTACTAACTGTTCTAAAGCAGGGATTTAATTCAGAGAAGCGGGGGGGACAGGCAGGCAGTGAGAAAATCCAGCCGCTTTCCAGCAGCCACACCTTGACACGGCAGGGCTGCTCCCAGCCTGTCATGGGTGCCCTGTCCTTACACTACATGAGTTCCCTCCTAGAGCTAATGGTAGAAGGGAAGAGGAAACAAAGAGATGGTGCTTACCCAGAGTTTTACTGGAAGAAGCATACACTGGAACACTGCTTGCAACTTTAAGGACCCACAAAAGAGCAGGGCACGTGTGGGGTCCCAAGGACACTAGGGCAGGAGAGTAGACCGGGCAAGGAGTGGTAGGTATATGGATAGGGGGACTTCTCTCTCTCCAGAGGGTGCTCAATGTCACCTCCCCCAAGAGTCCTCCCCTGCCCGCTTAGCCATCCAGTCACCAGCATGCTGCACTCTGTCCTCACACCTGTCCCCAGCTGAAATCATCTTGTGCATATAATTGTCTCCTTGTCGCGTGGCTGTCCCCTGCCAGGAATGAGATCAGGGCCTCTTTGTGGGGGAAGGGAAGAAGGGAGGCATGAATACAAAGGACAGGGAGTCACGGGGTCATGTCCCCCAACACTCTACCCTGCGGCCTGTCCTTGATGGTCACCCCAGGGAGGATGTGCAGGCATGAAGCGTTTCAACACCCTGAGGAAGTAGCCACCATGATCCCCCAGACACCCCGGCCCAAGCCAGCCCCCTCCGCCCCCACCCAGGCCTCCACTCTGGAGGAGGGTTTCTGGGAGTCTCTCCCAAGAAAAGCCTATGTGAGGACGGTCCTGCCTGCAAAACAAATTCACCTGCCAAGAGACTTCCCAAACTTGGGAACATGAGCGTCCAAAAATCCTAGGTCCTTGTTTGAACCTTGAGTCCAGCAGGTCCTTTGAGTCTCTGGGCAACGCTGGTTTTGTCCTCAAATTCTGGAGGTGGAGCTCTTGCAAAAGCTCCAGCCCTTGGGGGAATTAGTGGGGTGCAGGGCGGGGCCTCCAGGTCCCACTATCCCCAGCTCAGTGCAGGCTCGGGACCAGCCACCAGCTGCAGATGGGCCAGCCTGGGGTCACTGCGAGGTCTGCACAGATGGGGCCCTGAGCGCCTTCTGTCCCCTGGACCAAAGGACCCAAGACAGGAGCCCTCACTCCTAGTCACAGACACTGGGACAAGGCTGGTAGTCCCTGGCTGGTGTGTCAGCGCCCACAAGCTTGGGGAACTAAGGCCTCGTGATGCCCTTAAGGGCTGTGTTCTGAGAAACCCTGGGGTTTTCCAGGTATGCCTGGGGACAAGGGACAAAGTGGAAGTGGGGAGGGCTCTGCACTTCTCCTTCCCTCCCTCCCCAGCTGGTTCTGGGTAAAACCAGAGCAGTCAGGAAGAAGAGTTCTAATCAAATTTAAATGGGGGAAAAAAAATAGGTGTGTGTGTGTGTATAATATACGTATAGGTGTGTGTGTAATATAGAGTATATAAATATGTGTGATATAAATGTATATCCATATATGTATAATACACACGTGTGTACACACACATACATACACTTTTTTTTAAATTACAGCATTAAGGGGTTCGACAGAGCACCAGACTGAGCTCGGTCTGTCCTAGATGCTCAGAAAGCTCAGCCTTCTCCAAGCTCACACGGGCCATGACACTGGGGGCGGGGAGACCGCGCTGGGGAAGCGTGGCGGAGCCGTGGCACTGTAGTCCCAGCCCCCCCGCCAAGCCACTAGGTAGGACCGGGTGGCCGCCCACCCCAACGTGAGGAAAAGAGGGGCTGCAGGGAAAACGACACCTGACCCCCCCATCCAGTCACAACAATCCTCCTCACACTCTGCAGATGACCCCGCTCAAAAGCAAGTCCTCCGGGAAGGAATCCATTCTTAAGGTCTTATTAGTCACACCTGAGAGTGAATGAGTTTATCAGCTCTTTCCTGAGAACAGCTTTTTCAGAAAGAGGGTGAAGGCGTGCACAAAACGGCACCAAGCTGCTGGCCGAGCAGCAGGCCAAGGAAGCGAGAGGCAAAGGAAGCAGGGAGACAGGGCGCACGGAAGACACAGGGCAGCGCCTGGCCAATCTGGCCTGACGGGCCTCAGCAAGCTGGAGGCAGGCCGCAGGGACTGAGGGGGGTGGCTCCAGGCCTCAGTGAGGGACAGACATCACAGGCACGTGGAGGCACACTTCAGGGGGGACAGCACCGCCCCGCCCCTGGACGTGAGCAGGGCCTGGAGGCCACCTCCGGACAGGACGTGGAGGCCACACGGTGCTGACGAGAGTCGGTGCTGTGCCCGGGCGGACACCGGGTCCCAGGATCTGCTGCGCCTGCAGTGGGACGAGAAGGGGCCGGGGCACACCCGCCCCCAGACGCTAGACTGGGAAGGAGGTGGCTGAAGCTCCTCGACACTCGTGGCGCCAGGTCCAGAGGCAGAGAGGGAGCAGGGGTGAGAGACAGGGATGCTGCTGGTGGCGGGGCCTGGCCTGAGGGAGGGCCCCTGAGATGCAGACTCGCAGGTCCATCCTGGCAGGGCTCGTCACACCTGTGGGGCAGAGGTCTGTCAGGAAAGACAAGGAGGCTCCTAGGGCTGAGAGGGAAGGGGGTCTGTGGACAGGAAGGCATCCCTTGGCCCAAGGCCCACACCCACAATGGTCAGAAGCCCCGAACCTGCTTGTTGAAGAAGGGGCTTTGCAGAGCTGTGGGCACAGAGAAACCAGCTCAGGGGTCCGACCAGTGTTCTCGAGGTTGGGTCAAACCAGCCTGAGAGCAGAACCCTGACATTCCGGCTACTGGGACTATGCAGTTGGAGGGGTGGGGGCGGGGGTGGGGGCGGGGTCTCCCCAGGGCCAGCCCCTCTCCGCCCCTCACCTCTACATCCAGGGAGGAGTCTTTGTTTCCCCACTGGGTCCTCTTGGTGGCTCCTGACTCTTTCCGCACCTCCTGGTTGGAGACGTGAGGGGTTAGGGCAGAGTAAGGCACACTGCAGAGGGGGCTTGGGATTCCCCAGGCCCCTCCCCTTCCTGAGAGGGAAGACCCCAGACCCATTCCTCCTCTCTTCTGCCTCCTGGTGACAGACTTAGGCCTCCCTACTCCGCATGGTCTCCGCTCCGGGCACATCTCCATTTCCCTCAGGGCTGCCCCCTCTCTGACCCAGGTCATTCCACCATGAAAGGCCCATAGCACGAGATCTCAGGGAGGGACAACGTGCCTGCGGGTCCTGATCTCCAGACTCCTGGGTCCTGCTGATCCACAGGTTGAGCTTTGATGTCACAACCCCTGAAAGCCTCAAGTTATCCTGAAAAGAAAGGCTTGCATCTCAGGGCTTGGAGCTGCTGGTAACAGCACGGTGTCTTCAGAAAGGGCCCTGGCACAAGGATCCGATTCTACCTTGCTCCCATATCCACTCAGCACGTGCCACATATACCCGGGAAGGCCCCCAACCCACCCCCACCCCCCAAGGGAGTGCTGTGCGCAGCTAAGGAGATGGGCTCGTGCGTGGCAACTCGAGTCAACGGCAGGTTCTGCCAAAATGGACACATGAAAACACCCGGTTCTACGTTTGGAAGCCTCAGGCCTAATCAGCCTAAACACCCAGCTGGGCCTGAGCCCCTCACCTTCCGGCTGGAGGCCGGTTCTGCTCGGCTCTGGCCTACCAGCTCCTTCTCAAAGAGGTGGCGCTTGCTGGCTACGCCCACGGGAGCCACAAAGAACTCGGTGCGGGAGGAGCCGGGAGACTTGACTGATTCTGATCTCTGGAATCAGAGAACACAGATGGCTGACCCACGGAGGTGAGGCGCCCAGGCCACACCCACCAAGCCGGTCGGGTACGGAGGCCCCTCCGCAGGAGCCCTGCCCACCTGGACAGCCGAGTGGTATCTCTCCAGCTTCTCCCCTAACTTGACTGTGCCAGCCGGGAGCCGCATGCTGGCGCTGCAGGACAAACCAGGACAGGCCAGGACAAACCGGGTGAGACCTCTGCCCTCAGCCCTCCCGGAGCCTGAGTAGTGCCCACCCACCCTCTGGACAAAGAGAAGACGGCCTCCCTCACTGAACGAGACTCTAATGACTTGGCCAAGGTGAAAATCGACTGCAGAAGTCCAAGGACCTTCCTCACCTCCCTAGAAACATCCCACTCAGCAGGACACCCCCAGGATCGGAAGTATCTGCCATTCCTCCCCCGTCTTGTCACTTCCACCTCACACCTCACACGTCTCCTGAATCTCCCCCGCCCCCACCTTCCCCACCACCGCAGTCACCTTCCTTCTGCTCCCTCGGCCTGCCACCCCAAGCTCTCCCCCTCCTGCCGCCACCGCTCCCACCCCAAACGAAGCCCACCCTGTCCTTCCTTCCAGCTCAAGCCTCTCAGGCCACGGGGCAGGGACCAAACTCCCTGGTAGAGCACACAAGGCTCTGGTGGTCTGGTCCCTGCCTCCCGTCCTGACACCAGTGTCCCCCCGATGCCCCAACCCCTTTCTCCACACGCTTATGTGCCAGTTAACCAGACACCTCACGTTTTTCACCCTCTGTGCCTTTACTTGTGCTGGGCCCTCTCTTTCCAGTCCCACCCGGAAGTCAATTGCTCTGTGACATGTCCTCTGGCTCCCGCAGGCTGGGCTGTTGCCGCCACTCCGGGGCCACGTTCCTGTCCCTGCACCTCCCTGCTGAGGGGCTCTTGCATGTTTACTGGCCCAGTGGGAGATGCTGGAGAGTAGCAGCCATGTCTCATTCATCTGTGGGCCCCCTTGCCGCCACCGTCACCCCAGGCCTAGCCCAGGACAGTCGGCCTCTGCAAATGTGTAGGGGCAGGTGGACACAGCACGAGTGCATGGAATTCCTAATACATAAGCACAACTGCTTTTCAGACCCCATTTCAGTTTCTTTTCTTCAAAACACAGTCCTGGGGCGCCTGGGTGGCTCAGTCGTTAAGCATCTGCCTTCGGCTCAGGTCATGATCCCAGAGTCCTGGGATCGAGCCCCGAGACGGGCTCCCTGCTCAGCGGGAAGCCTACCTCTCCCTCTCCCACTCCCCCTGCTTGTGTTCCTTCTCTCGCTGTGTCTCTTGTCAAGTAGATAAATAAAATCTTAAAAAAAAAAAACAAAACCACAGTCCTTAAACTACTTGCATCAAAATTATGGGGCACGGGGATGCTCATGGAACATGTGGATTCCCAGGCCCCCCAGCATCAGGCCTGCTAAAGCAGAGCCTTCCCCTTCCCTGTACTCTTCATAGGCCCCCTCCTAAGAGGCCCTCCTCCTCCTCTCCACCCCAACTTCTTCTACCTTCAGAGCCCCACCCAAGCCCTGCCTCCTCCAGGAAGCTCTCCCTGATCCCTTCCCTCCCTGTTCCATCTCCTTGGGCCTCCGACCCTCATGTCAGTCCAGTGTCCCTGCAGGACCTGGAGCCCTGGCTGAGGATGGCACCTTCCCCTCAGGTGCCCTGTGGCCCTGCCTGGGAGTACACAGGGCAGACACTCAACACGCATAGGCTGAACGTGACCAGATCAGACAAAGCCAGAGCCTCCAGGCCCCTGACCTGCGGGTTAAGGTTGTTTCTGAGTTGTCTTTCCTGGGGCTCATCTGAAACAAGAAGGAAAGTCTCTGATGAGTGAGAGTCCCAAGGAGGCCAGGGCCTTCCACAAGAGAAGGGCTCACCTCTCTGAATATTCCTCCTCCTCCTCCTCCAACCCCCAACCAAACCTCCATTAAAGGCCTTCCTCTTGTCTGGGAGACACCTGCCCCCACCCACCAGGCTGGGTCAAAAGCCCCTCCTGTGCCCCACCCCCCACCTCAACCATCTATTTTCCTGTCTGCCTTCCTACTGCCCATGAGCCCTGCCAGGCAGGGACCAGCCCCGATCAACACCAGGCCTCCAGCTTCCTCCCCAGGGCCTGGCACACATCAGGGGTACAAAGCACAGTCAGTGAAAAATGAATGAACCACCCAGCGAACCAAGGAAGTGAGAGTAAATACCAGAAGGTGAAATGAGTCTCCAGTCCACACAACTTGTACTACTGGAGCAGAGGCAGAGCACGGAGCTCTAGGAGAGCCCCACTGCTCTCAGCCCCTACCCTTTCCCCCTGTGCCAGCCTCCCGGGTGAGATCAGGAACTGATGAAGGCAGGTGTGGGGCCCCTGCCACTGAATCCGCCCGGTGCCCTCTTCCTGCAGCTCCAGCCTTGCCCACTAGGTGGGGCTGCTCACTCTCATCCACATCCACCCACTGGGTCATTAACCTGCTCTCCTTCAGTTAATCCAAGTCATCTGCTCTTGGCCACCCACGGGAATCCAAAACCCCTCTCCAGCCAAAGGATCCACTTGATATCTAACCTAAGGCCTCATGCTGTAATAAATGCTGATTTCCCCGGCTTGCCCTCCAGTGGACTGGAGACAAAAGGTGCCCTGGGCTCTCACCCGAAAGGAGATGGTCCTGGAGCTGGAGCGTTTGAGGGAGCTGCTGTAGGTGGCCTGGGTGGGCGAGGGTGTGTCCACCTCTTCCTCCTTGCTGGGAATTTTCACCTGGATGGAGTGGGGGAGTGTCACACAGGAGGTCTGGGTAGCCTAAAGCCCAAGCCTCCATGGGGACCCCATGTGGCCTGGCTCATCCCAGGAGCTGCAGGAAGAAGGGGGGGGGGAAGAAAACAGTCCTATGCCTTCCTCTGGGGCCTCCCGCCTCTCCGCCTCTGCTGTGGGGATGGTGGACACAGTTCTGTGGGGCTGGGCCACCAGACAGAGCTTTCCAGCAGAACTTCTGGAAGGACCTGTGGCTTCCCAAAAGTCTGCTGGTGTCCTGAAATCCAGGCCCTGGATGAGGATGGGGTGCAGGGTGGTGGTGCTCTCTGTCACACAGCTGATGCCCTTTTCAGCTGGCCCCTGCTTTAGTGTCTGTTCTGACAGAGACTAGAAGCAGGTAGGGGGAGAGGAAACGGCCCAAGCCAGCCTCACGGCGAGAGGACAGGAAACAGCAAGGGAGCCAGAGACCACCTGAGGCAGGACGAAAGGGGCACATGCAGGGCTGGGAGGGGCAGGGGCACTGCCGACCTGGAATGTGATGGGCGGGAGGCGGGAAGCCACAGTCGGAGGGTCCGGCGCCCCCTGCTCTCCCAGCTTGGCCGAGGATGGTGGGCTCTTCTCGGGGAGGGCCCTTCCCCTCTGCCCTGTGGTGGGAGGGGGCTGGCTTCCCCCCGAGGCCAGCTGTCCCCCTGCCTGGGGCTGCCCTGAGGCGGCTGCCCTCTTTGGGGCCAGCTTTGTCTCGGTGGCCTGGGTCTTCTCTGACACCAGAGACTTCGCAAAGAGCAATGCTTTCTCAGAAACTACTCTCCTTTCCGTATCTGAAGTCTTCCCTGGGGCTGGCAGCTTCTCCGACACACTTGTTTTTTCTAGAATTGACTTCCTCTCTGACACAGATGTTTTCTCAGGGCCCAGAGCCTTCTCCGAGATGGAGGTTTCCTCTGAGACCAGTCTCCTTCCAAGTACTAATGTCTTCCCCAGGACGGGGGGCTTCTCCAAGACTGCCGACTTCTCTGAGACCTCCTTCTTTCCACCTTCGGACTCTCGACCCGCCAAGCTCTCTTCCTCCCCGGCCCAGGGGCCCCGCCGCTCCCGGCTCAGTCTCCGGCGAGGTGGTGGCTCCCCGTCCTTCTTGGGCACAAGGGGCTGCTGCTTGGCCTGCCCTGGGCCAGAGCTGTCCCTTGGCTCCTGTGCCCCCGGCGGGCTGGGGGCCTGCGCAGCCTCCACCACCTGCCGCCTCTGCCTCCGCTCCTGCCGGGTCCTGAGCATGGCCTGGGTGTCCTCCTCCTCATCTTTAGAGGCTGAGGTTCGTGGCTTGGGCACCTCTCCTTCCTCCACGCTCGGCAGTCTAGGCCAGAAGATGGGAGATGGGGTGGGAGATAAGAATGAGAGGCTATCAGAGGTGGGAGAGACCCTGGGGCGACCTGACCCAGTTGAGAAGCTTCCGGGGCTGCCAGGGAGGGGGTGAGGAAGTAGAGCCCTGGCCTCCCCCACCCCCCAACTATCACTTAAATAAGGATCGCTTTTACCTGCTTTACATATTGGGTTTCCAGGAAATCATCTGAACAAAGCACTCCGTGCTTTTAAAAAGTTGATAAACCTCTACCAGGACCAACTATCCCGTGTCCAGACCCAATCAACAAACACTGAACGGCTACCTTACAGGTGCCCGGCCCCGTGCTGGGCGTTGGAGATCAAAAGCAATAAATGCAGTCTTCGCCCCTTAGAGCTTAGATCAAGACCAGAGACATTCAGGGATGTGTCAAAGGTCACCCAGATAATGTGCGGTGGAACTGGGAATAGAACCCAGAGCTTCCCACAGGCCACCCTGCACTCCTGTTAGTCACGTGGCAGCCACGGCCCTGGCGTGGCCCGGGGCACACACAGAGTTGTCCCTTCGCCCGGGGGGCCCAAGGGAACAAGAGTAACATGAGGAGACTGTCCAAAACCTGTAGCACTTGGCCTCCAGCCAAAGGAGATTCCTTTCCTCCCTCACCCCCTTGCCCTCTGTGTGCTTTGGGGCAAGTTAATTCACTGTCTGCGCCTCAGCTTCCCAATCTGCAAACAGAGTTTATTTGGGTGAAATGAGACTCCTTCCCTGTGAGTGCCCACCACTGTCCTGGCACACGGGGGACTTGCTTTCCCTCATAGCTCTAAAATCTAGGCAGCAAGAGTAGCCCCCGTGTCCCTCCCCTCAGGAGCGAATCATGGAGTCAGGGAGACAGGGAGGCAGCGTGGGCTGTGGAAAGGGTTAAGCCAGACACTGAGAGATCTGGACGAGAAGTCTGGCCCTGCCACTCCCTGGGTAAGCGATCTCAGCAAGTCGCCCGTGTTCTGCTTCCGAAGAGGTAGGGGGCTGGTGTGTGGACAAGAGTCTAGGGAGGGTGAGGAGCTGGAAGCTTATCTTCAGACCTTCATCACATTGGCTAGGCAGGCCAAACCTGTCGTACGCCGTCTGTCTGGGGCTGCTAAATCCATCCCGGTCACCTGGGATAGGGAAATGGTGCCTCGTCCCCCCACCCTGACCCGGGCACCTCTGGGCAGCCGGTGCGTCTCCATTCTGGGCGAGCTTGGGAGCCTCGTCGTCTGTGGTGGAGCTCAGATTTCGGTGCCGCCGCCGGCGCTCACGTTCCTGCTCCTCCTCATCCTCTAGAGTCCACTGCCTGGTCAGGCTGCAGGGGGGACAGGGGAGAGGGTCAGTGCAGGCTGCGGGGGGGAGGGGGAATGGGGGAGGGTCAGTGCAGGCTGCGGGGGGGGTAACGGGGGAGAGGGTCAGTGCAGACCAGGCCAGATCCCTGGATCCCTGCATCCCCATCCCCCAGAGCCAAACCCCTGCGGGGCTGGGGGAAAAGAGCAAACACCCTCTAGGCCTGGGCTGTGTGCAAGAGAACCGTACTGGAACCAGGGCTGGGCTGAATTGGGACGTGCTGTAAGATACACGTGCCCCAAGACCTGATATGAAAAACAGACTGTAAAATATCTCATTAATAATTCTGCATATTGGTTACATGTTGAAATGATAATATTTTGGATATACTGGGGAAATGAGATATAATATTTTGGATATACTGGGGAAATGAGATATAATATTTTGGATATACTGGGGAAATGAGATATAGTATTAAAATTCATCGCCTGTTTCTTTTTACTTTCTTAGTATGTCATCTATAGGAAATTGACAATTTTAGAGGTGCCTGGGTGGCTCAATCTGTTAAGCGTCTGCCTTCAGCTCAGGTCATGATCCAGGGTCCTGGGATGGGAGCCCCACGTCGGGCTCCCTGCTGGCGGGGAGCCTGCTTCTCCCCCTCCCTCTGCCGCTCCCCCCATTTATGCTTTCTCTCTCGCCAATAAATAAAATCTTTTTAAAAACTGAAAATTTAAAAAAAAAAAAAACTGAAAATTTTATTTAAAAAAAAAAAACCTGAAAATTTTAAATGTGGTTCAAATTTGTGGTTCACATTACATATGTATTAAATTTCAGCTAAAGACACTAAGAGGATTTGGACTGAACCAGGGTTTCTCATCCCGGGCATCACTGGCATTTCAGCTAGATAACTCCCTGTGCAGGGGCTCTGCTGAATTATAGGGGTTGAACAAAACCCCTGACCTCTACCCACTTGATGCCTTAGCACCAGACCCCAGTTGTGACAACCAAAAATGTCTCCTGACTTTGCCATGTCCCTCGGCGGGGGGGGGGTTCCAACACAGATGACAACCACTGGGTTAGACTTCTAGAATCCAGAGTGAGAATGTGGGGCCTCCCTCTCTAGGAGGGACTACGAACATGAGAGGCTGGGCATGGTTCTGCCTGAAGGAGATGGATACACTTGACAAGTTCCTTTTTCTTTTTGGTCTTGGATTCTTAGATAACATCGATCAGTGGACAATCACAGAGAAACTTTCTCAGAGTTTCTCAACAACCCATGGGATTTCTCAGCTGCTCAGAGGGGAAGCCCCACAGACAAGACCAATTACACCTGGAAAAGATTTCAATATCAGCCTCCCTTCTCAGGAGCTCTTGGAGCCTCTCTCACCTTCTAGAACCAGCTTTCATTTGTCAGGGAGCAAGGGGACTCCATACACTCTACTTTGGGTTCCTGCCCCCCAATCACTCTCACAACCAGTCACCCACCTGTCCATCTCCTTCCTCACTCACTGCCTACCCACCCAGCCACCTGTCTATCCAAACACCCATCAACTCAGTCACCCCCCATTTCCCTGCCCAATCATCTTTATTTTATTTTATTTTTTTTAAGATTTACTTATTTGAGAGAGACAGAGAGCAAGCGAGCATGGGGAGGGGCAGACAGGGAGGGAGAGAGACAAGCAGACTCTATACTGAGCGTGGAGCCTGACTCAGGGCTCGATCCCGGGACCCTGAGATCATGACCTGAGCCAAAACCAAGAGTCAGACGCTCAACCAACTGAGCCACCCAGGTGCACCCCCATCAATCGTCTTTAGCTACCTGCCCTTTCATCCTCCCACCCACCTCGCTGCCAGCCCTCCCCACCTTCCATCCACCCACCCTTCCATCCCAACCAAAGAGCAGATACATCATTGCTAAGCAACTGCAATGGACCAGCAAGTCAGGAACTGGGGGATTCATAGAACAAGCAGGATCCCTACCCTAAAGATACCTCTATCTAGAAAGACATGTATCATATATCTCACGGAGAAGAGGAATTCGGAAATCCTGGTAGG